ACCTAACTTACTTAACAAACTAACTACTCTCTCTCTCTACTAACAACGAACTACGTCCCGACCTCCAAACTACAACGACGTCTCTCTCACGATGCTCTCTCACTCACTAACTACTCTCTCTCTCTCTCTCTCTCTCTCTCTCTCTCTCAATCAAACGTACTTCATTAAGATTTCACATCTTACTTGTAACTTGTTCTAAACTCCAATAGCTAATCAAACACTAATACCTAGAATTTCCCAATCATCTAGCAGGTTATCAAACTCAGGTGCTTAGAACTTCTTTAACATTCCAACAGGTTATCAAACACAGAAACCCAGAACTTCTTACACTAACTTCTTTCTTCCCAACAAAAAAGAATTTCCAACTTCAAGGAATATTTACCTTCTAGTTATCAAACAGGCCCTAAACATAAGACATGCGACTAATTGGACAATTTTACCCATATCAACATTTAGTTTGTGGAGGTACTTGCTGGTCTTCTTGCTTCAGACTTCGATTCTACCCTATTGAAACTAAAACATACCCCAATTCTATTAACATGAACCACAAAAAGGGTATTTGTATCCTCTACATCTAATAGTGTCTTCTTCGATTAGTTGCTCCTCTTATTTGGGTTTTTTTGCCTCACCAACAGAAATGGCTCTTCTTGAGCACCAACTCTTCTTTTTGGGGCTGTGTGGGAGCTGGTGCTTGTAACAAGCGTCATTCTTGAAGATGGCCTTCTATGAGCACTGGCTAGAAGCTTCCTTGCTGTGCATACTGCATAAAGGTCTTCATGGAGCGGTTGCTCCGTGGGCCTTCTACCCTCATTTTCTAAGATGGTGAAAGACTCTCTAGAGAAGCTTCAAAAGTCACCCATGGAGATGGCCTTTCTTAAGTATCAACTTCAGCTCCTATTGAATTCTTTGCCGTTGGAGAGGTTTGTTGCCTCACTCTCAGTTATGGCCCCATTTTTTGAGTGTCCCCTTCTCTAGACCAAGAGGGGTGAAGGAGGGGGATTTTTTGCATCACTTTCAAGCATGACCTCATTTCTTGAGCATTCCCTCCCTTGAATGTGTGGGTTTTGTGGCCAAAATCTTGATGGCAGGGTGAGGCTTGGCCTTATTTCTTGACAATTAGCATGTGGCGCAGACCTAGTAGCTTGGAGCTAGGGTTTAGCAAAGAGGAAGATAGGGAAGATAAAAAATTAGATAAAGATGCAAAAACCAAAGATAAATGGCAGTTGTTGCTCTAGGTTTTTTAATAAAGTCAATAACAAGATGCTCATTATGTTTAATACATCCCTTGCATAAAAAAAAACCTTACATAAAACTTAATCGTGGCCATCCATCTAATTTAATCATGGTCATTTATTATAAAAGACTTTAAGTGAGTAAAAAGACATAAAAGGCTATAAATAACTCTTTATGCCCCTAAGTGACTAACACTACTCAAAAAATAAATAAAAGACATAAAAGGACAGATTCAATGACTATTTTGCCTTTCTATGGTTCTTCTTGTAAATTTTAAACTTATCTCTTTTATCTAGATACTCGAGAGTTGTATTATGGGTTGCATCAGTCCCCCCTTCCATGAAAGAATTCGCACTTGAATTCAGCGGCTCGTCATTAGAAGTATCACCGCAACATGGAATGAGATGTTTGACATTAAAAGCATCGGAAGTGCAAATATGGCTTAGAAGCTTCAATTTATAGGCATTGTCTTTAATCTTTTGCACCACTTCACACGGTCCAATCTTGCGCTGGTTAACTTATGCTATTCAAAACAACTTGGTCTAGAACTATGAACAAGCATAGGAGGGAAGAATCTTGGATCACTTCTAATTATACATTCTCAAAGATATCCATTTAATAACGTTGTAGGAAATCTCACCTCTAAGACTTATAAGATTGAGCATTGAATCCGCCAAAAGGAGATTGCCAATCTTGCAATGAATTGATGAGAGTGCAATGCCGGTGTAAAGATTACAACCAAACCCATGTTTTAGAGCTTTAGCATATGCCTGCTTAATTGCTTCCATACTCTCCAATTGTCCACTACACCATTCTGATGTAACAATAAAAGCAAGGGTATATTAAGAAGACCAAAACCCAGAATTTTTCATCTCTTGAAAACATTGTAACTCAAACTCAAAGACATACAATTCAAAATAACTAGAGATCGATGTTTTCTCGGTCATGGTGCATCTTATAGGCATCTCATCCACTACGCAACACATTTTGTGCACATTGAAAACTAACACTGCTGCGATACAATTGCGCAACACTATCAATCATAAACATGCCCGAGGAAAACCCTTCTCTTAGGATGCAAGAAAAACTTTTAACTCTGAGGCTTGCTCTTGCTGAATTTTGTGAGGTCGCGAGGCAAATATTAGGTTCCTTAGGTTTAGGTTTCAGGGGAAGATGATAAGGAATAGATTTGGTTCTTCCATCAAAGTAGAGCAACAATTCAGCATGAGTTCTCTCATAGAGAATGACTTTAGCAACTCTTTGGAGACAAACTCTTATATTCAACTCACCAACTGAAAGTACAGGGAAAAATACCTCGAACTCTTTGGTGTGTGCCTCACATGACACCCTAACTTCAGTTCAAACTCGAAAAAGAACACCATCATCATCAATGCCTCCATCAAACCTTTCTCTTTGCTACTTTCTCTGAGGACTAAGGGACCAGTTACCTCCAATATTTTGGGAACAGCTCCTAGACATCCACCCTGTTCTTCATCAAGAATAGGAGCATACACAAAATCCTCTCCAATGGTAGGATCTTCTTTTTTATCCTCTTTATGGATTGGGTCAACATTAATGCTATGATCACGCACTTCTTTCTCAACATCCAAATCTTCATCCAGGTACTTGTCAAAGACTGGCAGAAAGTCCTAGTTCACAACGTGCTAATCTTGAGAACCACTTGATGAGAACAAAGTTTCTTCATGCCTATCTTTGGATAAACTCCATAATACTCCGGGATCTCAACCAAGAAATCGGTTTCCCACCTCCTACTATCCCTTATCAGTACAATCAACTTCCACAATTTCAACGAGCATCCGCAAGCCTAGTTTTCTCATCGGGATTTAAGATGCTTCATTATTCTTGATTCATCCTTCATATAAAAAAACCCTAAACAAGATTTAATCATGACCATCCATCTAATCTAATCATGGCCATTTATTATAAAAAGACTTTTAAGTGAATAAAAAGGCATAAAAGACTAGAAATTACTAGTTATGCCCCAAAGTGAATAAAATGACAACAAATAAATAAAAAACATAAAAGGACAAATTCAATGAATATTTTGCCCTTTTGTTTCTTTTGTAAACTTTGAGCTTGTCGCTCTTATTTAGATTCTCGAGAGCAGTATTCTGGAATGCATCAGCATGTTTTAATGGAAGGAAGGGGGCAGTGTTCCCTAAGATCCTCACCTCCGCATTACTCTGACAAACTTGAAGCTATTTGTGCAACACTAACTTCTTTAATTACAGCTCACACCATTGACTTTGCACACCCTATCGAGCCACTTGGGAATCGTGAGTAACCCTTCAATAAGGGATTAAGTGATACCCTTTTAAAACATTGGTTTGAAGAAAGAGAGCATAAGTACTACTTCACTTGACATATAGGAACATATCTTCTTCCAAGAAAACCAGCGAGTCGTTTCTTTGAAGTCTCATTGCATCGAGCAAATATATGTGTGTCGCGTGTATTTGCAACATGAATGTGTAGCACGCTACACATATACACATAAACACTCGCTACCATTTCAAGAATTTGCCTGCCAAGGCACCTAGGTGGGCATGGTAGTAGGTGCATGGCCTCGAGCAAAACAGTCACCTAAAGTGGAAGGCGCTCTAGGTGCCTGTCTAAGTGGCCAAGACACTTCCCTGGCCCATTCTTCTACTACTTCTTAATAATTTTGTTTGAGAAAAATAAAATAATAGTTGTCATTATTTAGTGCAATATATAAAACATAGATAAATAGATACTACTAAAGCAATATCTTAGTTATAGTACCATATAATATATTACTATAGTAATACACTGTGTAGTATTGCAGTATTATGGTCCTTCATTGACCTCATCTTTTGTGTGTGCATGTTATATATATTAAACGCACGCATGGGCACGTGCGACACACACACACATATTACCCCTCTCCCCCCAATTGTGACTGAGATGCCCACCTAGGCCAATGGCAACTAGGACTTCTGACTACCTCGGCAGGCCATCTTCGCATTTTTAAACACTACTTTTTATATTTTACTTTTGTTCCAAAGAAGCATCTCATTAGAATTTTTGGCAAGAAGATATGATCACATAGGGTTATTCGATGGTGGATATGCTTTCTTTCTTCAAACAAGAACTTATTAAATGCCAATGATGAAAATATTCTTTACGGTAGTACATGGCAATAAAACATTATGGTATTTCTTAATTTTGTAACGACAGAATAGAAATTTGATGGAGAATAAGACAAACAACTAGCAAACACCTCCACAAATTAGGTTTTTAGACTAGATTCTCCAAGTATGCAAATACACAGTTGACATTAAGTAGAAAAGAAAACATTTTGGTAGGATCTAGAAGTGAAAGAGATGAAAGAAAATAAAGATGATGATGAAAAAAGAAAAGAGAGACATGTGTGAGAGAGATAGAGAGACAGAGATGGAAAGTGAGTGGCATAGGGGTCACAAGCAGAAGAAGGGAGAGAGAGAGCGAGAGCAAGACGTGTGGGACATAGAGAGAGAGAAAGTGAGTGGCGTAGGGGTCACTTGTGACCTCTACCCCTCTTACAAACATTAAGTAATAACCTTAATTCCAACTTATGGACATTATCAGTGATTTAAAAAGCGGACCTCCCAGCGATTCAGAAGCCCTGGGCGCATCGCTAGGCCTAGGCGGCAAAAAGAGGCAGATATCCTTGGGCGCCCTCCTAGGAGCCCGGGAACTTGCCTAGGCGGGCACCCAGGGGAAGAAATGCCACTTGTTGAGGGCAATTTTTTATCATTTTTTTAATATTAAAGGGGCAAAATTATCGGTTTCAGGTTCATTTGAAACTTAAAACCCAGTAGAACCTATTTTAGAGAGAGAAAAACTCTAAAAAACTAGTTTTTGGTGATTCCCATAGGATCGAAGGGTTTCTCAAAGCTATGAGAAATTGATCTAAGCATTACCCATTGATATTAGATTTAATTTTGATTGTGTTATAAATCTATTAGAGGGTGTTTTCGAAGATTTTGAGTCCTTAGAAACATCTTAGAGAAATCAAGCAATCAAAGTTAGTGATTTTTTTTATTGCTTGTATAAGTTGTATTATTTTGAGATGTCTTCTTCGGGATCTAATCAAAAGTGGTGATCCAGATTGGAAATATAACTTGAATCCTATGGATAAAAATTGTACAAAATGCAAGTTTTGTGAAAATGATACAAAATGGGGCATAAACAAGTTCAAGAAACATCTTGCCGGTATCCGAGGAGATGTTGCTCCCATGTAAAAAAGCTCTTCATGTTGTTAAAGATGAGATAAACAATTTTCTAAAGTCTTGTAAAAATGAAAAAGAGATGAGAGACGTGCATACATAACAGAGATTAGGTTAGGAGTTCGGGTTAGTTATGATGATGAAACAGTGATGAGAACGGGGAGGGATGTCAAGAGGTAGAACAACAACAATCCATGATTAGGGAGAAGGGAAAGAGAGTTGTAATTTCTTTTGGGAGTTCGGGGCCTAAGAAGCCTCGGGTTAGAGGCCCTATGGATAGTTTTTTGCCTCGGCGCCTGACCTTGAGGTTGCAAGATAGAAAACAAAGAAGCAAACTACCATTGAAAATAGAATCAAGGAAGAGAGAGATAGAGCTGCTTTTTATGCTGCTACATGGTTTTATGAAGCAAGCATTCATTTCAATACTGCTCGCCTAGTAGCTTTTATGCCTTGGTAGAGGCAATTGACCAATTTGGGCATGGGATAAAACCCTCAGGCCATATGAGCTTTCAGAGGCTCTTTTGATAAAAAGCAGTGAGTGTCACAAGGGATGTTGTTGAAGTTCAGAATGATGCATGGGCTCAGTATGGAGTTTTCATTATGACTGATGCTTGGAGTGATAGTACGAGAAGAATTCAGTTGAATTTGCTGGTGAATTGTCCTTTAGG